GACTATGTTCGCTTGATTAATATAGTAATTAATTACTATTAAGTAGTTTTTTATTTTTCCCTTTCGAATTCATTCATAGATATACATTCTTATAATTGCTTTTTAACATTTGTTTATTCATCATTAGTCTCAATACTCATATTTACATATATATAGAATACAGTTTGGGTCACTTTCCTGCCACCCTGTGCCTCCATATTATTTTGCAACAACCTTACTCCTTCCATCTTCTCAATCTCCTTCTCAACCTTCTTCTTTCCTCCTCTCCTTCCTTCTTTCTTCTTCCCCTCTCTTTCTCCTCTCCTTCTCCTCTTTCTTACCCTCTCTCCTACTCTTAAATCCCCACACTTATTTTCTCTGCTTTACCCTTTCTTATTTTCCCTCCTCATCCCCCCTCCTTTCCGTTGTTGCCATTACTTAGTTATTTTCTCTGATGGGTTCTTGGTTTGGCGTTTCAGCAATCCCAATTTTATATTTTCATACAAATAATTTTCTCTGTTTACATTTCATTTTTAATATTAGTTCCACATGTTATTTTTCCTCTTGTATATTTACATTTTAATATTTTCTTATTTCCCCTCCACCTAATTTAATAATGTGTTCTCTGAGTTATTTATTTCATGTTTGTTTCTCTTTCTATTTATATCTTTTTTCAAGCCAATTGTAAAATCGTCCCCATATCCTGTAGTACACTGATTTCGCTTTGTTCTTTATTCTCAATGTCAACCTGTTCATTTCTGCACAATCTAGTATCTTCCTTACTACCTCCCATTCTCATAGGATTTTATCTGCTTTCCAATTTTGTGCAAATACAATTGTAGCTGCTGTTATTATCTGTACAATCAAACCAATCTTTACTATATTCCTTTGATAGAATCCACAATAAAAATACCTCTGGCTTAAAATCTATGGGTTGATATATTATTTTCTCTAACCATGTTTGTATTTTAATCCAATAGCTTTTTGGATCTCTGCACGTCCACTACATATGATAATATGATCCAGGCAATTATTGACATTTCCAGAATTTAGCTGATTTAACTTTAAACATTTTTGCTAATCTTTCAGGTGGCATGTGCCATCTATAAAACATTTTATATAAATTCTCTTTGTATGCTATTGCCATTGTCAATTTATAATTCCTAGTTGTTGCCATTTTTCTAGTTCTATTATATATCCAAAGTTTTTTGCCCATCTTATCATTGTTTTTTAACCTCTTCTTCTAAATTTATTCTGAGTAGATAACTATACAATTTTTTAATCATTTTTCATTCCCCCCCATGAGTATCTTGTCTAGTTCCATATTAAAACCATACTCTAACATTCTTCTCATATCTTGTTTGTATTTGCATTTGTTTAAACCATCCTATATCAATCCCTTCTTCTTCTAATTCTTTCTTTTGTCTTAGTTCTCCCTGTACTGTTAGTATATCTTTGTACCTAATAACCTTTTTCATACTACTTATATTCGGGTGTGCCAAAGCTTCCACCATTGAAAGCCACATTGGAATTTCCATATAGTGCTTTTTTTCACTTTTTCTCATACTACATATAAACCATTTCTTACATAATGTCTCTGTAAATAACCATGTATTCAATTTTCCCATACCATAAAAATGTGTGCCAACCCAGTTGCATATCGTGTCCCCCCAAGGATAATAACCTTACATTTCTTAATACTATCCATTCTTTTATCCACATTAAAGCTGCTGTTTGGTAGTATAATTCCCAATTGGGTACATCCAATCCACCTCTAATCCTTGAATCTTGAGCAACTAGAGTATGGAGGAGTAGCTGGATTGAAAATTAATAAAGATAAAACAAAAAATCTAGTGAAAAATATAACAGAAAAAGAGAAAAGAGAAATAATGGAGAAATTAGATATTCAAATAGTAAAGAAAGTGAAATATTTGAGGATACAGCTGACCTCGTGTGTAACTATCAAAGAAGATAATTACTATAAATTAAGAAATCAAATTGAAATGGATGTAGAGAAATGGAAAAACTTACAGTTATCATTAATGGAAGAATAACGGTAATTAAGATGAATATACTACCAAGAATATTATTTTTGTTTCAAACAATACCAATAAAACTGGAAAAAAGTACTTTGAAAAATAAAATTAAATAATAAGAAAATATATTTGGCAAGGAAAGAAAGTGAGAATTAGCATTAAAATTTTGCAAGATTCAAGAACTAGAGGTGGATTTGGTTTACCAAATTGGGAGTTATACTATTAACAGCAGCTTTAATGTGAATAAAAGAATGGATATTATTGAGAAATACAAGGTTATTGTCTTTGGAGGGACATGATATGCAACTGGGTTGGCACACATTTTTGTGGTATGGGAAAAATAGAATAAATGGTTATTTTCAGAAACATTATGTAAAAAATGGTTTATTCACAGTATGGGAAAAATGAAAGAAAAGCATTATATGGAAATACAAATGTGGCTTTCAATGGTGGAAGCTTTGACACACCTGAACATTAGTAGTATGAGAAATGTCTAGATATAAAGAAATACTAACAGCAAGGGGAGAATTAAAACAGAAGAAAGAATTAGAAGAACAAGGGGTTGATATAGGATGGTTTAATTATTATTTGTATGTAAATATAAAGTTGGGACCGCTGAAATGCCACCCCGAGAACCCACCAGAGAAAGTAAATAAATACGGGCAACAACAGAAAGGAGGGAGGATGAGGAGGGAAAGGAAAAAAGGGTAAAGCAGAGGAAGTGAGGGAGGGGAATTAAGAATAGGAGAGAGGGTAAGAAGGAGAAGAGAGGAGGGGGGAAAGAGAGAGGAAGAAGAAAGAAGGAAGGAGAGGAGGAAAGAAGAAGGCAGAGAAGGGAAGTTGAGAAGATGAAAGGAGCAAGGTTGTTGCAAAATAAGATGGAGGCATGGGATGGCATGAAAGTGACCAAAACTGTATTCTATATACAGTATCTGTAAGAAAATAACAATAAAGATTAATGATGAATAGATACATGTTAATAGCAGTTATAAGAATGTATATTTGTGAATGAATTTGAAAGGGAAAAAAACTTTATAAAAAAAAAGAACTCAAGGGCTCAGCTTTAAACATTCCTCCATATTTTCATTATAGTTTCATCCATTTGTGGAGACGAATGAGTTTTTCAATTTTTCCTCTTATAAATTCTACTTCGACCAAAATGGAGATGTAGCAGCACATTTGGCCATTTCAAGCTTATTAGTTCTCCCCAAAGTGGATCCCATCATGGAGCAACTGGGGAATGTTGTGAGACAGAGACTTATTATCAACAAAGATAGTCTGTCACGTCTAAAGTTGCTCAACAAAGTGGGTGAAATATTTGTTTCTTTTCATTCCAACCCCCCCCCCCCATAGCCTAAGAACCCGTTTCAAATAGACTAAGTCTACTCCCTAAGAAGGATGACTTTCCTTGAGAATTTCCCTTAGAAATTAAATGTGGGAAGTAGAAACTCTACCGAATAAAATAATAGGTCTTACATTACTATTGTTACATGCCAGTTGGTTTTACCTAAGTGTAGTTCTTGAACAGGAAGGATCTTTTCTTGGACATAGCTAGCTGGGCCTTTAAAATATCTCCTTCTGACAAAAGGACTCATACTCATATCCCAAGTACAGCAACTTACCCTTCACTACTGCTCTAGAAACTGGGCAGAATTTATTCCTAGATTACCAGTGAGCTGAATTAGTAAATATATAATTAAACAATGAATATCCCCTTTAAAGGTTGACAGACCACATTTGCAAGGAATTTTTCTTGATTTCTTAAATAAAAGTTGTTTTGGGGCTACTTTCAAAAGAAAGAACCTTTGCTATAACCCAGAATAAAAGTTTCCAAATCTGAGGTTTCTCTTTTCATCAGTGTGTCGTTCTATTTTGATAAATAGAATAGAATAAAAAATAATAATAAATGTTTACAATACATTTTGTTCTAAAATTTAGTATGAGTAGATTATCATACTTTAACATTATGGGTGTAAGAAGAATGGAGAAATCGATGTTAATACAGTCATTAGGAGGAATCCAGTAGTTGCTGCTTAATGCTTAAATCTTTTGTCAATTGCATTCCTCCAGGCTTTATTAAATGCAAAAGTATTTTATTGCAAATTAATATGCCTTAGTTCAGGGGTGTCACACTCACGGCGTTACATCTGCATCACATGATGTATCAGGACTTTTTTCTCCTTCGCTAAACCAGGAGTGGGTGTGGCCAGCACATGACATAGGCTGGGACTTTGACAGTTCTGCCTTAGTTAAAAAAATGTTTAGTTTATTTATTAATACTTCATACTTAACCACCCATTTTCCCTCAAAGAGGGGCTTATATAGTTATAGTTATATCACCTATATATTTTTGAAATCAGTCAATGATTTCATATTTACCAAAGTGAACCCATTAGACTACATGGCTAATATTTTTGTCTGCCTCCATTTTCCATGGATGATAAGTCCTAACACATTTTCTTTGGCATTCATTATTTTTCTGCTTAGACTCTTCCTCAGTCCAAATGTGTGGAAAGTTGTCATCCTGGATTTGTCAAGCGAGCTCGAGAAGGAGAGCCAGTTTGCTGCTATGACTGTGTACCTTCTCCGGAGGGGACCATTTCCACTCAGGAAGGTGGGTGACACCAAATAAAAGGGCAGGACTCTATGGAAGTGGATTTATACAGAGAATTCTCCATGGAAATTGGTGTAAGGATGCATTGAAATGCAAGTGTTTTCGTCCTTATTTTATTTCTTATCAAAAAAGGAAGCATACCAAAAAGACCTTGAAGGAAAAACTGGGAAGGGTTAGGAGGGACTGGTAGATTGGGCAAGCTTTATTTTCACAGAAAACATCTTTTTTGAAAATGATATCCTTCTTAGCTTTTTTGTATGGAAATGTTAGGAAATGCATCTTAGGAAATTCTTTTGCTATGAGGTTTTGTACAAGAAGGTAACCCTTGAAAGGTCAAATATGCTAAAATATATACGTTTTGGATTTCTCAGACACAGAAAAATGCATCAAGTGTCCAGATGACAACTATCCAAATGAAAAACAAGTTCAATGTATTCCCAAAGTTATAACCTTCCTGTCTTATGAAGAATATCTGGGCATCATCCTGGTCTCCATCACACTATTCTTCCTAACCACAGGTTTTGTTTTAATCATCTTCATTCAATACCGAGAAACTCCCATTGTCAAAGCCAACAACCGGGACCTCTCTTACATCCTCCTGGCCTCCCTCCTGCTTTGCTTCTTGTCTCCTCTTCTCTTCATTGGTCAACCAAGGAAAGCTACCTGCCTTCTCCGACAAACAGTGTTCAGCATCATTTTCTCAGTTGCTGTTTCTTCTCTCTTGGCGAAAACCATCACAGTGGTGCTAGCTTTCCTGGCCACAAAACCAGGAAACCGAGTGAAGAAATGGTTGCGGAATAGCTTGGCCAACTCCATCATCTTTTCTTGTTCTAGTGTACAAATTATCATCTGTTCCATCTGGCTGGGAGTTTCTCCCCCATTCCCTGACTCTGACATTTACTCCCAGTCTGGAGCAATCATCCTGCAATGCAATGAAGGTTCTGTTTTCATGTTCTACATCACACTCAGCTACCTGGGATTTCTGGCTTCCATCTGTTTCACAGTGGCTTTTCTCGCCAGGAATCTTCCTGGGGCCTTCAATGAAGCCAAGCTGATCACCTTCAGCATGTTGGTCTTCTGCAGTGTCTGGGTGACTTTTGTGCCAACCTACCTGAGCACCAAAGGAAAATACATGGTGGCTGTTCAGGTCTTCTCCATCTTGGCATCCAGTGCTGGACTACTCAGCTGCATCTTCATCCCCAAGTGCTACATTATCACCCTGAAGCCAGACCTGAATACAAAAGAGCAACTGACCACAAGAAGAAATGTAGATATGTGAGACAGAGGAATTTGAAGTCTTAACATTTTACAATATCCACATCTAAAAAATGGTACAAACTGTTCCACACACATAAGTATTGTTCTCCATATCGAAGCTGCTCTCCATACATATGTATACATATTGTTTGAAATATTTGAAGGGTATTTAAGATATATTGTCACCAACCTTGTACAGTAAAATTCTGTAATGTCCATTGAGCTTTTTGGGATCTTTAAGTCTATCTAGTACCCTTAGCCTACCTGAGGCCTAGATGCCACATCCAGGTGTTTTAAATGTGACTCTTGTGCAATGGGAGTCTTGTTGATATGCCAGAAATATATAGTTGGTGGGGGTCTCTAAAAATCCATTACTTTAAATGTGGTCCTTAGGGACAAGATTCTTTCAATTTCTTCCTGGGGGAGAGTCCAAGTCATCTTTCTGCAGCCATCTTCTCCAGCCTTCCTCTGCAAATTGGTTTTTGGAATTAGAAAAGCAAAATGTTTTATTTACAAAATGTTTATCAGAAGCAGAAACGTCACTGAGATTTTTTTCTTCCGAAACAAAGGATGGAAATATGACATTAAGAGCATTCCATAGTGTGAGCTGCCTTTTTCACAGAAAAATAAAATTATTATAAAAATGGTAGTTCTCATGGAGAAGCAAGCAATTTCTCCTCTTGCAGATGAAAACTTGAGCCCAGGAAATGCTTAGTTATCATTAGTTACAGTCATTTACCTCTTCCTAGTGACACCTACAACATGGGAAGTATGTTGTAGAATGATATGGACATACCTGGGGGATGATGGCAGTCTGAGAGGAGATCTCAGTCTCAGTCCCTTCAAGGACAATGAAAAGGTCTTCTGCCTTCCACAACTGAAGTTAGGAACATTGACCTTCCCATCTGAGAGCAGGTCCAGCACAGCATCCCAAATCATTCTTAGGTTCAAACGATTGTCATTGAGATTGCAACCCAGGTGGACATTAGGAAAAGTTGTACAACCTGGTTGATATTAGACGCCCCAAAGAAATGAGAGGACTTTCCAGGAGTAGATGAATCCTCTTCTGGAAATATAGGAGCATCTTTCCTTTAGACCAGTGGTTCTTAAACTTTTTGAAAGAATCGCCCCCTTGAGTCATTGAGGAAGTTATCATTGCCCCCCTCCCCCAACTTAATCACACTCACTCCTCCAAAACCAAAGAGACCTCCAGTCATTGCTCAGATATGCTCATTGCATGGCCAATGATGGATGAGAATTACAATACAATACAATAGCAGAGTTGGAAGGGACCTTGGAGGTCTTCTAGTCCAACCCCTGCCTAGGCAGGAAACCCTATACCCTTCAGACAAATGGCTATCCAACATCTTCTTAAATGCTTCCAGTATTGGGGCATTCACAACTTCTGGAGGCAAGCTGCTCCACTGATTAGTTGACATTGAAATTGAAATGAAAAAGAAAACCACACAGAATATGTTAAATATATTTATTTTGTTTTATTACAACAAATAAAAGACATAAGAGAAAGACAAACAAACAAAAAGATACATCCAGTACCAACAACAAAAAGGACAAAATATCAAATAAATTTAACATTAAAGACACAGAGTGAACATCAGCTGGATGCTGAAAAAAAGAAAACAGTCTTCTCCAAAGAAATAGTGAGAAATTCCTTCAAACAAACACCCATGTCATATTCTCTCAACCCTCATAAAGTGATACGGTTTTTATGAGTGTCATAAAAATATCCCAATTAAAAAAAAACATGGGGAAACCAGAAGCAACCACAAGCAATAAATCTTATTTTAAGATCAGGGGTTTATTGTTTCAGGAGCAATTTGGAACATGAATAGTCAACATAGCATTACTTAGATAAGAAGTAATAAGGTCCACTGACATAGCCGAATCCAGCAAGGATTAATTATGGCCAGTGGCTCTGAACTCTTCCCAAGATGATCTTTTTATACTTTTCTGCACACATTTCACAACTTACTTCCTTGTTCTGCCTTACTGACCGTCACTCTCTGCAAACACCCATGTACATTTGAAGTTCTCAGACACTTGTTACTTTCAGTTCCTCATTTCCCACCATCTCACTCTTCCAGTTCTAAATATATCCATACAAGTACAAACTTTGCAGAAAAAGCAGCACAAAAGTCAAACACAATTCAGCACATTAGAAATATATCCAGTACATTTTAAACAAAGTTTAAAACTTTGGTTCAATGAGTCCTGCAAGCTCACTCCTATGCCTATTACCTGCAAATTTCAAATGGATATTTTTATCCCCTCACACTGGTGAGATTCCAACTGCCTAATTGTAGTCAGCCGGCAGTCAGCAAAAGTAGCCTGCAGTACTGCACACTAACCACTGTTCCACCACAGCTCTGGATGAACTTGCCCAGCAGTGTCTGGAAACCAAAAGACCATTTGAACAATAGCAGTGTCAGGCCTGCAGTTATATCCCTTTTAGGATCTTTGGCCTGCCACACTCTCTCTTATTTCATTATGCTGTTTCATTAGTGTAGTAGTTGGGAGTGGGGAATAGAAAGGAGTAGAATTGTGAAACGTGTTGTTGTCATTCTTTTCTAGAAGCCCAAGGTCATCTTTTGTCTCCGCACCTCTGCACCTGACCGGAACCAGCTGGGTGGAGATGCCAGTATGGAAGAAGAAGATTGGACCATGTGATGGATTTGTGGGTGTGAGGACAAGATCATGAACTTTCAACTGGGTGGGAATCCTAGGTAACTTCCAGAATTGGGATTCCACAGATGTGCTAAGATGGCTGATTTATTAAATTGGAACTTTAAGGATCGTTTTGCCTTGGATTCTGATTTAATTCTGCATGATACTTGGAACACTGACATTATGTTCCTGCTAACTTGAAGACTATTGTTCTTCAACAGGCCCACAATTTGAGGATGGCAGGCCATTTTTGATTTGTAAAGACTTTAACATCTTATTAAGAGGCAATTTTGGTGGCCTTCATTGAAAAAAAAAAACCATTGAGTCCTACATAGCCAGTTGTCACATTTGGGCAGCTGCAAAACTATCACTGGGGAAACCCCAGGGCCTTCTCCAAAGTGTGGACCACCTTGAGGCCCCATGGAAGTCCATTGATGGACTTTATTGTCAAATTGCCAGAGAGTCTAGGAAATACCATAATTTGAGTAATCACTGACCTGTTTTCCAAACAAGTTCATTTTGTGCCCTATTCCAAAATCCCATCAGCTAAATTGTTAGCTAAGTTATTTATTTCACATTTGTACTGGTTACATGGAGTGCCTGAATGCATAATTTTGGATAGGGGGGTCCAATTCACCTCCCTCTTTTGGAAGGAGTTTCTGAAGTTAATTGGCTCTGCCCAGGGGCTAAGCTCCACCCACCATCCACAAACTAATGGGGCTTGTGAATGGACTAATTCTGTTTTGGAACAGTACCTCTGGTGTTTCATCAATTATCAGCAAGATAACTGGGCTGAACTTACCACATGCTGAGGTGGCGTACAACAACTCTGTGCACAGCAGTACCGGCTTGACCCCTTTTAGAGTTGTGTTTGGGCAGGACTTTGTACCAATTCCTGAGTTATCTCGAGAGAAACCATAAATTTTGTCCCTCTTCGAGTGGAGTGATCAACTTCACCAATTTTGGCCCATGACCCGCAAGGCGTTAGAGGCTGCTCACTAGGTGCACAAGAAACAGGCTGATCAAAAGAGGGTGAAGCCAAAAGAGTACAAAGTAAGGGATTGTGTGTTTTTGTCCACCAAGTTTCTGCAAACCACCCAAAAATAAAAAATAAAAAACTGGGACCGAAGTATGTCGGTCCTTTCCCTATTGTGAAAATCACTAATCCTTTTTCTGTATGATTAGAGTTACCAAAGCATCTTAAGCAGATTTATCCTGTGTTTCACATGAACCTGTTGAAGCCAGAGTACACGTCTTCCTTTTGTGCGGATCTACCTGCACCCCCTGCTCCTCTTCTTATTGAGGGAGAGCAGCATTTTGAAGTTAAAGAAATATTGGATGCCAGGAAACATAGGAATCGAATTCAGTATCTAGTGTCCTGGAAGCATTCCCCCCACCAGGCTGAATGGGTGGAGAAATCTCATGTTAGGGCTCCTAGACTTTTACAGAAGTTCTATACCAAGTACCCTGATAATATTTGAAATGTACATATTTTATGTTGTCTTTTCTATTGTTTTTTTCTCTTCTACAGCACCTTA